ATCATTAGTTAATTTTTCCAAAGTCAACTTTTTAATTAATGAATATAAATTAATTTATTTTGATTAATTAATTAGACCAATTAACATGAATTATTCATTTAATTTTTCTATATTAATCAAATGTATATTTTCAAGGCTAATAACTCAAAAGAGTAAAATATGAAGAATATTATAATTTATGCATTGTTTTATGAAATGACAAATATTATGAACTAACTATTTATAATAAGAATAACATATAAAAATGAATGGAGGAAGTAATTTACTTTTACTTTATATACTATATATAATAAGTGGGAATATCTACTACTTACCACATGACAAGTGTTGGATGATATGTGCTTGATAGTGTTGTACATTCTTCTTTTATGGTTGTACCTTTAAAATTTATATTATTGGACAATTTAACACCATTAATTACCTACTAATTTATTAGCCCAAAAGTTTGACCTCATTGTCATATGAATTTGAACAAATTATATATTATTAAAAGTTACATAAAAGATGCTATAAATCACAATAATTAGCAATTAAAAATATTTTTAAATCATATAAGAAATTTGGTTGACTAATTGGAATAGAATAAGTAACATATACTATTTGGAAATAACGTCAAAATTTCTAGAATTCACAATAAATTAACAACTGGAAATATTTATGATTGTTCACGTGAATTGAAACATGAGTAACCTATATTATTCAAAACTAACGCAAAAATACTATAAATCACAACAATTTAATAACTTCAAAATATATTTTTAAGAAAACATATAAAAAATCGACTGATTTTCAAATTCCATTTATTATCACATAAATTAAAACAAATTTTAAAAGGGTTAATTTTGTAATTTTATCCATATCACATAAATTAGGACAAAGTGACCAGTAATGTACGTTATTTGAAAGTTACATAAAAATATTATAAATCACAATAATTAATAACTTAAAACATTTTAAAAATATAAAATTTGCAAATTTCATTTGTGTCACATAAATTGAGACAACAAAAATAACATATATTGGGTCCATTTTAATTTATTTATCTTATTTTTTTGGTTTTGTTTATATTTAAAAATTGCGTAAAAATATTATAAATCATGATAATTGACAATATAAATATGTTTTGAAAAAATTCCACTGATTCTTGAAGTGAATCTATCGTAAAAATACTATAAATCATGATAATTGACAACATAAAAATATGAGTAGTCTTATTATGCCTTAAAATAGCGTCAAAAAAAGTACAGGCACGCAAACAATCGCTTCAAAAACTCGGTTATTAGCCCCAAAATATACCATTTATATTATTGGACCCGTGCATAGCACGGGCAACATTATCTACTATACTTATATATACTTATTACACTACTATATATTATTACTATGCATATATAATATTAGAGTTTACCAGCAGGCTTGTATTAGTCAACATGTCTACATGTATGACAATGATATTTTTGTTACTCGCTTATTGTTTGCTGCTGAAGTCTTTTGTATTTTGCTGCTGTATAAATGTACCTTTTCTCATTAGACAAAAAAGGCAACTACTATAACATTTAAATATAATTACCCATATGTCCTATAAAAATATTGCTTTAATTTAAGGAAAAACTACAGAAAACATATATTGACCCATGTCGGCTGAGAATTAATTACTACATATATTGTTTAGGAAAACATGATCCCATTTACTGACCATTACTATTAATTACTATTTTGTATTATTTTTATTTTAATTTATGTCTCATTTTTGTATTAGTTGATTATATATTTAAGAATTTAGATAAACAGTAGTACTATATAACAATAATTAACTTTTAAAATAAATTATATAAAAAATATTATATATATCATGATAATTAACAATTGTTCGACTCTCCAAATTCTATAAATATCACATAAATTAGAACATAAAAAGTAACACACGAATAATATTTAAAAATATATGTACAAAGTACGATAAATAACAATAATTAATAACTTAAAAAATATTTTTAGGGTTGTTGTACCAAATGAATAATAATATTATACCTTTTCATTGCTAGACTATAAAAACAGCTAACATTTGTTTAATTGTTAATGTATCCCTTAAAAAAGATACTACTATATACTATCCCAGACTTGGTGGCCCCATTTGCAGCTTTTCTATGCAATTGCATTTGCATCTTTTCTAATTACATGTTAATTTGATACAGTGTATTTGAAATAAATTATACTTAATTTAATCATGTGTCTGAGATGCATATATTCAAGTGTGTCAAATACATGTATCTAGCGAAGTAAATATGGTACGAAATATAATTTCAAAAAATTAAAGTGAATATAAGTAATTAAACTCTAAACTAATAAAATTTGTGTTGTTCGCTTAATACTGTATTTATGATAGTTATATAATTGTAATAAATACTAGAAGTAATTATTATTGTAGTCCTATTTTGATAGAAAAGCCAAATCTAGACTATAAAATGTAGAAGAAAGAAAGAAATTTCTCTCAAAAGTGTGTGTTCATCGTTTCTAATATTTGTTATTTTAACATGACATTAAAGTCAGGAAGTGAGAAATGTAAAATTATAATGAAATGAGATAATAGAAAATTAAATCACCAGAGATAATGAAAAAATGATTTGTTGCCGAAGAGGATAAGTATCAAAGGGAGATTATTTGACCATATTATCTCACAACAAACAACAACCCAAGGATTGTGTTAAAATTATGAGGAATTAGATAGATCCACCAGCATGACCTAGGAAACTCAAAGTATGGTGTAATTATGTAGTAATTATTTTAAATTGTAGTTGGATTGAGTAATTATAGTAGGTATATTTGTTTAATTATGTAGTTTTTTTATTAACTTAATCTAAATTGATTTGCTCAAATTTAGTCATACTCACCCATTTGACATTCTTATTATAGTTTGCAGTATTCAATTTGTTTATATAAGGTTTACTAATTGTCTACAATCATCTTGACTTTAGGAGTGAACAAAATTTAATATATTTTGTCAAATTACCACTTCAATTATATCAAAGTTAGGAGATATCTATATTTTTAACTAGTATTTCACAAATTATTAATTTCGTATTTTATTACAACTTTTTGTTTGTTTTTCTACTTATTTTTGGAATTCAAATCATGATCATCAAAGATAAGTATAATCTCACGCAATGAATCAAAAAGGCCTTATATTGGTTCGTTGAATTTGACTTACAAAAAGTATTTGTAATAACTAACAACTCACAACCGTTTGTTTGTAAATAGTAATACAAGAATTCTTATTTAGCGTCCACATGACTACACGGCATATTGCTACAACACCATGACCTAATCTAATTTATGGATTACAAAGTCATTCTAGATAGTAAGACAACTAATTATCTCCATTTGGAACATGGTGGTAGTTGTCTAGTAGGATAGTAAGCAAGCCATATAATTACTTTTTTGTTTTATATTGCGGTTAGCATACACATATCTTAACTATTTAAATAAATATTAATTACATATCAAAGACGGATATAGACTTTTGATTACAAATTCATTTGAATCCATAATATTCGACATGAAAATGTAAATATATGATCAGAGGCGTATTCGGGGCTCACCGGATTCACGTGAACTCATGCTCCCCTCCCGAGATCATGTATAGTAGTGTTATATTTTTTTAAAATATTGAAATATAGATGTGTCAATCCACACTAGGAGTATCACATAATGCGATAATGATTGGGTGCATCTCTCTACGTGAGGTTAGAAATTTAAATTTTATATTTATCTTGTTTTATTTTTCCTTCTAAAATTAGTAATTGGTAGCACTTTTTGCAGTTTATTTATATATATATATATATATATATATATATAAGCATTAATTTTGGACCTATAGGATTAAAATTTTAATGGTTTTCAATAGTAAAAACCTAAATGTCAAATCGATCAAATTTATATCTTAGATCAATCTTTTTTTAATATTGCACCCATCATCTCAAAATTATAACTAATATTTACTATTTTAGTGGGGATGGCAAATTCTTGGTCTCCAAGATCGACTTGTCCATTTATTTCCTTTTTTGGGCTATCTGGCATTTTGTTAGATTGGGCTGATAGACTTATTGGATCTCAGCCTATTTTGTGTATGATGATTTCTATGAGAAATAAACGGACCAATGGTCCAATAAAGCTATTTAAGAAAACAAAAAAAAACTAAGATTTACTAAAATATTAATAAATATTTGATCTGAACACATAATTTTTTGCATTATAGAAAATTCAGTTTAATGTTGAATGGAACTCATAAAAATTCAATAGACTAATTTAAATTCAGAAATTAACTTTGCTTGCTACAATTACTAATAACTATGTCCACTAAAGTTTAACCATTAGGAAGAAATTACCAAGCAATTTTCAATAATGTTGTGAAAAAAGTAATGTATCATGATCTAGTTGAAAAATGATGTATCTGATACAATAATGTTGTGAAAAAAGTAATATATAAAATGAAATAAAGTGTAGATTCGAGATGATGAAAACTTAAAAAAAAAAAATCGAAAAACAGTAGAACAAAGAAGATGAAAACTGCCTATTCAATTATTTGAAATTGATTGACTAGAAAATTCAAATTGGGATGAAGGGTGTAACTGATTAGATTATGGGAGTGAAATAAGGGAGAGATTGAAGGAGTGAAAATAGGAGTGTGAAACGTGGGTTCGTTATGTTTGAGTAATGTATCCGCTGACTTGAAAATTTAGGAAAAATAAGGGATTTTGAAAATATTTTAAAATTGTAGGGAATAATGGAAATTATGTAAAATTTTGGTGTATATATAGGTAATTTTTCCTTTAAAAAAACAAAAAAGACTAAGATTTACAAAAATATAAATATTTGATCTGAACACATAATTTTTTAACATTATAGAGAATTCAATTTAATGTTGAACGAAACTCATAAAATTCAACAGATTAATTTAAATTCATAATTTATCTTTGCTTGCTACAATTAGGAAGAAATTACCAAGCAATTTTCAACATTATAGATTCAATGTTGAAAATAATAAAAATTGAACACATTAGTTTATATTTTGAATCTATCTTTACTTGCTTCAATTACTAATAGGTATGTCCACTAAAGTTTAACCAACAATCTTTGCCCTACTTAAACTTAAATCCTTATGTACATTTCATTAATCACTAAGTCAAACTCCGCTATGTACAATTTAAAAAGTTAACATACTTTGGTCCAATGTGAGCAGGGATAATGAGCACAGAGTCTAAGCAAAGACCACCTTTAGTATGAGTGCAATCAATTTGAGTCATTGAGAACTTTAACTTTGTTGTCATGCTGTCCACAACAAAGTCTCCAACATAATAGTTTATCCACTTTCCTGCCTCATTCAAGTAATATTGTGCACTTGCCTGCTGGCCGTTTGATGTTGATAGTTGAAATTGGACGGGTTTGATATTCCACCCGTGCACTTGATCAACCGTGCAGATTCGTCGCCCTAGTCTTCTCGACGTTTTTCCCAGCTGAAGACGAAAGAACACGCTGTAGTTCCCCGCTGGGAATTCGAATTCTAAGTTCCCTTCCACTTCCACCCACCATATTTGTTTGAGAAATGCGAATGTGTTGAACCTGTTAAAGATATTTGTGACACAATATTAGCTACGTTAGTGGCGGAACAAGATTTTTCTAAATAATTAACGAAGAAGAGTGAAAAAATACCCTTATCGTTATCTTTTGTCTAAAATATACTCTTGACTCTCACCGTTAGTAATGGTTCAAAAGTATTTTTGAGAAAAATGATAATATGAAACCAATCACAAACGTTAAAAAGACATTTTTTTCACGCTCATCATAATATATACATGGCTACAAAAGTAAGGTGCTAGCTGGAACACTCATAATACATAAAGTCAGTCCAACATTGTGTATGGTTGGTGGCCGAAAAACCTACTTAATTGAGAATTATATATATACCACGTTTTTTACGTTGGATGAGACTATAGTCTATAATCTTGAAAGTGCTTATCAAAAGAATATCTGGAAATTGATTTTTTTTTCCTCAACCATATGATTAGTTGACTTCTTTACAGCATCGTCATTAAATGTGGGATTAATTGCCAGCTACATATATTTGCTAGATCTAATATAGAAAGGTATCTTATATATAGTACATATATATTCACATGTAAAAGATTTTCATTCATTCAATCATGCATATTAACCTGTTGTTTCATGTACGGTATCTTATTATAAATTATATTTATAATGATACGAACGTACTAATAATCGGATTTGGCTCCCCTCCATTACACTTTCCCTCCATTTCGTCAAGTACACTTCTAGATGAGAGACATGTGTCCTATTTAATTTTCAAAGGTCAAGATTATAGTATATTAATAAGCATTATAACCATAGTTAAGTTAACAAATTTTGGTAAACTATTCTCCAAATTTAGTAAGAACAAAATATTCCACATAAATTTTAATATCCATTAATATCATTATTTTCATCTTATATTTTTTTTATTTAAATATTAAACTATGCGATATTTAAGATGAGAATCGACCAAAAAAAAATTTGTGCCAATAAAATTTATGTTGAGAAATATATATGTTTTAAAAAAATATTCTTTTATCTTCTTCGTTATTTTTTGTGAATTTTGAAAACACATTTAAAGCCAAAATATTTATAAAGATTGTTATTTATCACGCTAAATAAAAATATTGTTAGATTCATGTTCTACTTTTTAATTTTTGAATATAAAAATATAAGATGAAATTAATGATATTAATAAATATTAAATTTGTGGGGAATATTTTATTTTTACCAAATTTGAAGAATAGTTTTCAAAAAAATTGTTGACTTAACTATGGTTATAATACTTATTAATATACTGTAATCTTAACCTTTAAAAATTAAATCGGACACATGTCTATCTAGAAGTGTACTTGACTAAGAAGGAAAAGTGTAATGAAGGGGAGCTAAATCCCTAATAATCGGTTGACAACCGACACTTAAATCATTTATATAAAAAATTAACTATAGTAACTCACTGGAACAAGAAACATATTTTTCCTCTCTCGAAATTTTCCCAATCTTTTAAGTAAAAGCAATCCCACTATGCAATTCATTTAATTTGTTCAAATGTCAAATTTCGTCCTCCCACGTTTTCTCCAATATCAAAGAAACCAGTAGAGTGTATATAGTGTTAAAATATACACTAAAGTCAAAACAAGCCATTAAATATAAGAAGTTAAAAAAAAAATACTACTTCCTCCGTCTCAATTCATGTGGCACATTTCTAATTTCGAGATTCAAACTAATTTATTGTAAATTTTTCATACATCTTTTAAATATTTTGAATTGTCAATTATTGTTACTTATGATACTTTTTAAGTAGTTTACAAATATATAAATTTTATTTCAAAAAATTTAAAGATTGCATCATAAATTCCAATCTAACTTAAACGTTTGACACTCAAAAAAAAATGAAAAGTGTCATATGCATCATTTTTTTAAAAAAAAATAGTCTCTACGTTTTTTAAAATCCGCACCGTGTAAAGCCGATTATTTCAAAGATTGTGATTAAAAATGAATGGATCCTTCTTTCATAATTGGTTACATTTATTTCTTTTCTTTTAAATGACTCCAACTCCCTATTCATATTCTAAAAGTAATTAAAAATCTTTTAATAAGTTTATTGATCAAAACAATCTCTTTCTTGATACACCCAACACGCCAAAGTATTTTCTTTATTGGCACAACACACATCTTTTACATTGTTCAACATTCATGTCCCATAATCAAAGACATTTCTAATTTCTCCATTTACTATGTATAACGAAAATGTAATGCATGATTACTACGTTAAAATTGAAACGTACTACTCTTTCGGTGTCCCATTTAAATAGAGATAACTTAATAAACTATAGTAAAATAAAAAGTTAAAGCGACAGTTAAAATGATACGAAAGAAACCTTGATTCATCAGATGAAACATGAGTCCAATATCTGCGGTCTTCTATGCCTGTTATCTTCATTTCCTTCCACGATATACAAACACATATTCCTCCATTTTTTTCCATCCAAAATGCCTGCCATAACAAGATAACACCCAAACATTAATATCTCCATCAAATAAATAAATAAATATGTTTATATAAAAATATAAATAAAAAAAAAAAAAAATTAAAAAGGAAAAAATGCAGTCTAGAGAACCATTGTAAATTTTGTTCTCTTGTTCTTTATTTTCCCTTGACCAAATACTGAAGGATTTTGAAAAGAAAATTATACTTGTAAAACGATAATAACATATTCAATATAATATCACACAACGTGAGAGACGAAAAAAAGGTCATATGCACACCTTGTAATTGCTACTCCCAAAGTGATTCGGACGACACAATCTGACAAATATCTCTTTCTTTGTCAAACTACACGAGTCTTCGCTAGCGTTTGACCATAAATTTTTGTAATTTCTGAGAAGAATCTGATAATTTTGAGGCAATTTTGTATCCCAGACTAGATCAGTCAATGAAGCTTGATGGAATGTCCTACTGACTCGACTAATTTTACAGATCTCAATTGGGTCGAGATGTGTAAGGACCAAAGCTATGCAGTTTTCTGGCAAGTCTCCAAGTCCAGTCTCTAAAGGACCAATATTACTACTTGTTAATTTTTCATGATCCACCAAGCCAGAAATAGTAGCCCCCATATATGAAAATAAAAACTCCTAGCTAGAATAATATGTGATCATAACAAAGGAAAATAATGATAATTATGGAATGGTATAAATGAATGAATGTTGAGTAAAGAGGAAGGGAGGACTTTCTCCAAAAGAGAGGAAAAATAATTGAATTAAGGAAGAAGAAAGAAAGAAAGTATGGTTTTGGAATTGAAGACTTTTTCAACTTTATAGAGTAGAGAGATGCTACCAAAAAAAAAAAAAAAAAAAAAACCC